TGTAAGTAGTAAATCGATCTGCTCTGTCAAAAGTTTTCAATAGTTCTTCAAACAACTTCATGAGGCCTGATGACATATGAGGTTCAAACTTTACAGGTGTTGTTCGACCAGATTTTAACAATTATATAAAGCCTATGACAAATTCTCCTGACGGTTGGAAGATTTGTCTTTCAGTTGTTGGTAGTCGTGTCGAATATTCTGCAACAGAACCTTTAAGCTCCTTACTCGTCATAACTCTCGGGTCATGGTATAGCGTTGTTCTTTTACAGAATACTATGTTATACCATCTTCGTTATGGTTTCCCCACTTCAACATCTCTGTCTTTGACATTGACAATAACACTTTGACTGTTTGTTTGAGTTGGTGAATTTAACTTCACATCTGCCACCGCCATTAAAACCTTTTGAAACACTTACGCTTCTATTTTTCGGAAATGACATTTTACTTAGAATAAAAAGATGGACGTATTCGAGTATCTCTTCGAATTGAAGCAGAACAAAGTTTACACAACAAACAATACAAATACATTGACAGAATAGTTCTTTATACAAACATGGTAAATGTTATAGAATAGCAGTCTTTGCTGAACCAAAATATTTTCATAAAGCAAAGAAAGTTGGTATAACTGAAATGGTGAAAGTTCTTGAAGCAGACAAAATATAACTTCAAAACTTACAGATATTTCTAAAGGAAAGTTTATAATACAATATTATGTCAAAAACTTGGCGTACTGTCAAATATTTGACGGAGAGAAGTCAGTTCAAGAACAACTTACTGACCTGCTGCCAAAATCTGCTCGATGGAAGCTGTCGTTATGCCAATCTGAGGAGCCCCAGCAGGTTTCATCGAACGAATCTTCAAAAGAGCATCTTCCGTGAAAAGTGCTATTGGTTTTGTAAACTTCTTTGCTTTCAATTCATCTGGACCGTCTCTGTCCAGTATATTGTATTTGTACAGTACCAACAGTTGAAATACCACCCATAAAGTCTTCTGAGTCAGCAAATGGAATGCCAAGCCAAAAGTTTTGAACGGTCTCCATTTGTATATTGAGTTTTTTGACCTCCTGTATGAGTCCATACTTTCACATATGGCATAATAGAACTTTGCATTTCAGGGTTAATGGTTGTTGTGAAGTTGTTGTTAAAGTTCATAGCATCTAATGTCAAGTTGTATGACCTCATATCCTCAACTGTAGAATATTCTTCTCTTGGATAATATTTGCCATCTATGTTTATATGATATTTAATACCGGGGTTGTAGAAACAAGAATAGTCATTTATAGTTCGTCTGAACAGTACAAACATAGTATCTGCATGTTTCATTGCAGTTGTTAAAGCAATATCTGTTCTTGCACCTGCGGCTCCTGGATTTTGGTTTCCAACTTCACCTGCAAAGTCTTTGACAGATATTTGGTGTATAGGGAACATAAGTGGAACTGCAATATATTTGGCAGCTAAAGCATTTGAAATATCTGGGTCCAACATATAGACTGCAAGTCTGCTTTCTATTCCTTGCATTCAAATTTTTCGCATGTAAACTTAACTGGGTCCCAAGCAGTTCCAGCAGCATTGAAATAATATGTTTACTTCATTGTTGAAGTTTGAGAAACCAAAGTCTAAGTCAACTTTGTCTTTGCAAAATTCGGCGAATGACGTTTGATTTGTTCCCTTTACGTCTGTAATAGTGAATGGGTCTTGTGTTGGTGCAATGACTAAGTTATTTTTGCTTGGAGTAAGTTCGATAGAAATTTTTCCTGCCCAGTTTGGCAAGTATCTTAAAAACCTGAAGATGAGGAAAGATGACAAAGGACTTAAGTTTCAGTTTTACTTTAGTGGCAGCAGTTCCATCTGAACCAGAAAGGTTAACATAAACTCCTGGAACGTTAGGGTCAAGTCTTCTTATTTTCTTCAATATTTGCATACTGGTCTGTTTGTTCTCTAGCTTGTGGTTGTACTGAGTTTTCTCAAAGCGAACCATTCATAGTTTGCCCATGTTACTGTTTGAAACTAAGTCAGAGTTAGAATATATCTTATATCCCATGAAAACTTCTGAGCATATTGTATCCGACATAGAAAATTCCATTACAACCTTTCTTGTCAGACAACTTGGCAGAAGGTTTTTATTTTAATGTCTTGTTCCACGTATAAGAATGAGTTGTCAATAGAAATAATATAAACCTGTCGCAAGCAATATCTACTGTTGTTGAAGAACCTTCTCCAAACTCACCTACGTTTCCATAAGAAACAGCAGTTGTATATTCGTAAGTTCCAGGAACTATTTCTGACCTTCTAATGGCATTGTCGCATTCGTTATACCATCGGAAACATTTCGTTCATGGCATCCAAAACTGTTGGCGTTATATTCTGAGCGGCGTACATTTCATATGGGTAAAAATATAGAATAGTTGGATTTATGTGTCATAATAGAACCCACTCGGACCAAGCTTTACTTTCTTCCTGACTGAGTTTTTAACTCTTCTTTTTCCTTCATTGCACTACTTTCACTAGATGAAGTTACTTCTTCACTATTTTCACTTTGTTCTACTCTTCTTCTTTGGTGTCGCTTTTGGTAACTTGCCCTCTGCTTCAAGTTGTTGCATCTTTGCCTCATGTTCACCTAGTATGTTGTAAATTTCCATGTCCTTTTTGCCTTTGGGCTCTGGTCGCCCATCTCAGGTAACCTATATCCTAGAAAGATTTTGTCATAGTTTGTATTTGAGTCTTCGCGTATTGTTTGCATGACTCTTTCCTGAGTTTCCGGTTCAAGCTCTTCAAATATAGCTTGTCCATATGGAATATGCTCGTTTCCAAATATATGTTTTTGTAGCCATTCTGGTTTTCTTTCCATGTTACCAATAATATCTTTTGTGAATGGGAAAGCTTTTACCCAATGTTTCAGTCTTGCGTCATTTATTTCTGTAGTTGGTTTTATTTTGTCAAGGAACATGTTTTTCAATACTAACATTTCATTTGGTACTGTCCATTTGAGTTTTCTTAAATATTCATCCATTCTCGGTTCATTGTCTGCAAAGTAAGTTTTTATGACATTTTGCAAACTTTCGTTTGCAAGGTCATGTACAATAGGTTCTCTTCCTTCTCTCTCCCTAACTTTCTTTCTAAACTCTTCACCAAATATACATCTCTATGGTTCTGTGTAGTTCTTTGAGATAAATGTTCTAGAACGTCAGGTGTTATATTTCCATCAGCCATGTTCATTTCATACTGGTTCAAAATATCTGCATCTTTCATATCTTTCAATGGCATTAAAGCCGCGCTGAAAATACCAGCTATATCTGGTTCACCATTCACTTCCATTGCGTCTACAACTTCTTGGAATTGAGGTTGTAAGTTTATGAACCACCTATCCGGATTAGCTTTATGACCCCATCTCATTGTAGTTCCATAGTCTGCAGAAACAAAAGTAGGTTTGTTTCCATATTGGTTAGGTTCTGAATGAACTTTAAACAATGTTTCATTTCTATATGTTTTGGTGAAATTTAACCTTTTATTTTCACCGAGTTCAGCCAAAGATTGAACGTTATATGGTCGTAAGTAAAAAGGATTGTTGTATTTGCGTACATTTTCTTTCAGTACTTCCATTCTATGCTGAATATTTTCATCTGATGTTGGAGTCTTTTGTATGTCGGCGAACATTTTTCGATATTCTTCTACTATGTCAGCCGAATTTTTCTTAGACTCTTGGAAAGATTCCATATTCTCCGCATACTCTTGTTGAGGGTCAAGATTTTTCGGCTGTTCCAAATCTTCATCTAGTTCTGTGAAGTTAGTTTCCAAAGGAGGGACTTGTTTGTTTCCTTCAGGCTCTTCTAGCTGTTGTTGCTGAACTATTTCTTCCATGTCTGGTTGTATCTGAACTTCTTCCTGTGGAGTTTCTTGTACCTCATCTGCTGGCATTTCATATATTCCGAGACCGTTTTTAACAAGTTCCCTATTTAAGTCATCCGCATTCATAACCCTTTCTTCTTTCGTTCCGTCTCTATTTTTTACGCGTTTCATGAAGATAGTTGAATTATCATTTATCTCTGACACCAAATATCTCGGAGTAAATTCAGTCATGTCATTTGGATGATATGCTATTAAATCATATCCCTTAGCGAGCTTGTATTTTCCAGGTTTGAAATTATATCCCATTTGGTGCTGAACCATAAAGCTAAATAGGTTCGGGTCAGTATTTCCTTCCTTGAACTTTCTAATAGCTTCTTTATATCTGTCACTAAAGTCAAGAGTATCTGGGTAACCATAATTTTCCTTAAGCATTTTTAAGAATTCTTGGTTTCCTTGTTCTCTACTTCTTTTATGTCCTTGCTCTGTTTGTGGTTGTTGCTGTGCAGTGTTTTGAACTGTTGGTTGTGGTGCAGTGTTTTGAACTGTTGGTTGTGGTGCAGTGTTTTGAACTGTTGGTTGCTGTGTTGGTTGTTGTTGTGGTGCTGGATTTTGAACTGTTGGTTGTTGTGTTGGTTTTGGTGCATGCCTGTGTCTGTGTCCATGTGACGATGTAAATGTTTTAGGTAGTCCTGGTGCAGGTGCTTCTCTTGGAGGGTTTGGTGGTATATAAGTTCCACCAGCTGGCACATATGTTCCATCTGCAGCATAATGTCCTACCTGACTTTTCGTTTTTAAGAAAGCATTTACTAGGTCTGTTTTGGTCTGTTGTAACTCTTTTTCTTGACTTTCCACAACAGTTGCTCTAACGGCGTCATAGGCACTTTGAACTGCCTGTCTCGTTGCTGCATCTGTTATTTTCGTCATATTTTGTGCTACTTCTCTTAACTCTTTGTCGAAACCTTCAGACTTCAGTTTCTTTCCAGATGAGAAGTCGTTCACTAGTTTCACCTTACTATGAAGAGCTTCGAAGGCGTTCTTAAAGTCAGCATTCATTAAAGCTTCATTTGAACTGTCTTCATCCGCTTGTATTTTTGTCCTTATTGACCCTATAAGTTGGGCTGCTTTAGCGTTGGCTTGGCATCTAACCAGTCATTATTAGCTTTTATATATTCTGCGCTTTTCATTGCCTTTTGCATGGCTGCGTCGTTATTTTTACTTTCTTGTGCTAAGTTTTCATACTGTACGGTTTGGTTTTGCAACTGTAAAGGTTTTTCTGCCTTTACATTTGCTTCAACTTCTTTTTTATACTCATCGCTATCCATATATGTCTTCAGGGCTTTTTGTTTTATTTCTTCATCTTTCAGTACTTTATATTGAGTAGTATGGTTTTTCAAATTTATAACATCTTGTTCCATTTTTGCTACTTCTGCTGCTTTTTCTGACACTTTTTTCGCATATTCCTCTGTACTTAGTTCTTTCAGTTGTTCTTCTTTCTTCTTTTTCTCTACGTTTAACTCATTGAGTTTCTTTGTGTGTCTGTCATATTCTAGTTTCTTTTCGTTTTCACTTATTTGTTTTGTATGTCTATGTTTGACTTTTTGACATCTGTTATTTGATTTTTGAGTGAACTCAAATTCATTTGACTTTGAGGGTTATAAGCTGTTCCGTCTGCAGCTCCACCATAGCCTGCCATTTTCGCTAAAAGTGCGCTCTTAAACCTCCACTCTGTGCACCAATAACTCGGTTTAAAAGCATAGGGTTGCTTGACATTTGTTGCAACATAGTGGGGTCATTCATCATTTGTTGTTGCAACTGTTGTTGTGGTGTCAGTTTTACTATTGGATGTTTCAATGCTCTCTTCCTCTTACGTATATTCTTACGTAGCTTACGTGGCATTTTAAGTGAAGTTAAAAAGCGGTTTTTGACAGATGTTTATATGACACTTTTTGTTCAGCACAAAAAACTACTCGGTCAAAGTGTTGTCAGTTTTGTAAAATAACCGTCCTATCTCATTCTATAAGGGGGGAAAGGCTTCTCAAAGTATACTTCCTTGGAACGCCTGTAACTTTTCCTGTAGCGACGATAGACCCTTGCTTGTCCGGACAAAGTTATACTAAACATCTTCAGGGCTAGAGGGCACGAAGTGCCTGGAGGCCCCACTACCTTTTTTACTTTTGTTTTGAGTGCGTTCAGAGATTTCAAATAAATCTAAATCTAAACTGTATTAAACAGAAATTCATCAAAAGTGACAGCTCCCAATTTTTTGACATTTGTAAATTCTAAATTGAATGAGAAAAATGAAATAATACTAAGCATAATACAATATTCTAGATTTAATTATAATTAGGAAAAAGTTAGTTTTGAGAGTACTTTTCATAGGCATATAGAATGAAATCTTCTGAAAAATAATATCACATAAACTCATATTATTTTCTAATAGATAACTATTTTATATAAAAATCAAATTCAATGATCTTAAAAGCGAAGGATAAACCTCAAAATTTACGAATATAATGAGTGGGAATATAATGCTTATCTATCATAAAACCATATGAAATATCAATTTTTGCTTTACGCCTAATTTTTGACGACAATTAGCAAAAAATGTTAAATGTTAACACTCAGTCCATTTGAATATGAAAAATAAAATTGACTTTGATTAAATGTTTTTATTTATCATGCAATTCTTCTTGCGACCAAAGATTTGAATAAAATTTCAAAAAATAAGATAGCTTAAAAATAATATACGGTAGTGTTTACTAATAGATGAATAGTATATAAATTCTATTAAAATGGATTTGATCCAAAAAAATATAAAACCAAAAATAATTGTTATAATTTAAATGAAGAAGTAATTTAAAACGATTTTATTTATGATCAAATTTTATATATTTTTTTGGATCAAATCCATTTTAATAGAATTTATAAAAAAAAAAAAAAAAAAAAAAAAAAAAGGAAAGTGGGGCTTCCAGGCACTTCGTGCCTTCTAGCCCTGATGTTGATGTTTAGTATAAATGAAGTTTTTATTCGGAGGACTCTTCTTCTTCCTCCATTGCTTCTGGGAAGAAGCCTTCTTCTGGGTCGAAAACATTATATAATGTGTCGCTTTTCACAAATTATATATGTTTTCATGTTTTGTCACTTTTCTGTCACTTTTCAGGTAAAAAACATTTTTATATATATATAAATGAATTTTACAAAACCACCGTTACCGTTCTTTGGAAATAAGAGTAGATGTAAAGATATTATATTGAGAGAACTTAAGAAACTACCGAATGGTCTAACATTTGTAGATTTGTTCGGTGGAAGTTTCTATATATCCCATTTGTGCCATATAATATTTCCAGACTCAAAGATTATATGCAATGACTTCGACAACTATATGAACCGTCTCAAACATATACCAGACACAAACAAAATATTGAAAGAGTTAAAAGAAAAGATACCTATAGGTAAGATGGAACGTATACCATTAGATAAGAAAAATACTGTCAGAGAGGTTTTGAAAAAGGCAGAGTATATTGACTGGGATAGTATATCTGCTAGACTATTATATAGTGGTGCTATAAGAGTTCATGACATTGAAACACTTATGTCAAAAGTTTTATATCTTAACTATACAAATGTTTTCAAAGAGGACATAGATAAATATATTGAGGGTATAGAGTTTGTGAGATGTCATTGGACAGATTTGTATGAAAAATATAAAGACAAGGAAAATGTTTTCTTTATAGTGGACCCGCCGTTCTATAACACATGGGATTTTCAATACCAAGTAGACTGGACTTTGAGAGACTCTTTAGAAACTTTAGACGTTTTACATAACCATCCATGCTTTTACTTTACATCCGATAAAAGTGGTTTGGAAACCGTTATGAGATGGTTAGAGGACATACATGACTATGAGTTTAGATATGACAAGATAGAATATGAGAGAGGTCCTATAAACCGGAGAAAGTGTCATAACAAAGAAATTTTACTAGTAAGTAAATGTGGTTTGAAATAGGACTACTTGTTTTAGGTTTTTTCCATTGTGTCATTTATTTATTTGACGTGGCAGAAAGGTACAGAGAATATGAAGATGAACCAATGCCTGCAAATGTCCAGTATATGTACTCGTAAGAGATATTTTTATCTAATATTAAATGGACGCACAGAACTTAGCAAATGCACAGCAACCCGGACAACCAAACCCAGAGAATATTCCAAATGAAGTTCGAGTACAAACTGCAATGGCAAACTATGGTCAAGTGCCAACAGATGTACAAATGCAAACTGCCATGTCAAATGACGCTGCGTTAGGTTTGCCACCATGGTATGCAAATATGAGATGGAAAGAGTTTTATACAAACCCTGAAGTGGGATATAAACAACTTTATGCAGATGACGCGAACACAGGAGTTGACCCAGAGTATGTTTTCTACCAGAGGAGAAACAGAATGTATGAGCTCCAGTTAAAGAATGCAATGGAACTCAGAAGGAAACGTAAGAGACTAGGCGGACATTAGATTTTTACATATAGTAAAATGGGTTTCTTTGGAAGAATAGGAAACTTCTTTCGAAATGTTGGAAGAGGTATATGGAATGGAATAAAAACCGTAGGAAGAGGAATTTGGAACGGAGTCAAAAATATTGGCAAAAGAGTAGGTCAGTTCGTTGGTATTATACCTAAAGACCCTGAACCAGAAGAACAAGCTCCTGTTATACAACAGCCTGAACCTGCACCACAGTCTAGTTGGCAACCAAATCCAACACCTCAACCGTATTAAAAATTATATTTTTACCGTTCGATAGTAGTTGTATATGAAACTAAGTTCTAAGTAAAACGCATGGTATAATGGAACTATTCTCTTTCTTCCATCTGTAGTAAACCATACTTGAAAGTCTGAAATACTTCCACTCGGTGGTTCATATAGCTTTGTAGGTTTTTCGTAAAAGTCATTTGCCAAGCATAAAAAAGAGTTTTGTGCACCAGAAAATGAAGCATGAACGATAATAGCATCTGAGTCGAAAACATTTTCATATGTTCCATTAGGGTTTTCGACTTCATAAAAGTCTGGGTGTACTGGATATTCTGCAGGCTGATTTAACATCCTCATAAATCTATACCATGCCAAGTTGTTATATTTTGTAGAAATATAAACGTTTTCTCCAAGGTCTTCTATTCTATTGATTTTAACAGTTGCATTTTTCCTGTCATAAATAATATCGAGATGGTACTCTCCCTCGTCAATGTTAAACTGGTTTGCATATTCGAGATAGATATCGTTTATTTTTTCTTGAAAAGCTTGAAGAGTTGTTTCTAAGTTTACAAGCAAATTCACTTGTAAAAGTTTTCCCTGTTCAAATTTCTCATACGTATGTTTTTCTTTGTTATAGTATCGAATTTCAAAAGCGACCGTAAATGGGAAACCATGTATGGCTTCTGAAATGAACTTCATTCTACGAAAGCCAACAGCTTTTGTGACGGATGGGTCTCTTAGCCATCTCAATGGGTAGTCAAAACGATAGCCTTCATGCTTTACGGTCTCTGTCTCAAACTTTTGACCTACGTTAGTAAAAAGTTCATCTAATGGTTTAGTTGTAGCAACTCTTGAATTTTCTTTTTCTATTGAAAGCATATTTTATCTAGAATAAAAATGTCAAATGAAACAGCGTCTAT